CCCCGACAGTGCCCACGGACCACCTGACACCCCAACAGTGCCTATAGGACCACCTGACACCCCGACAGTGCCCACGGACCACCTGACAGTGCCCATGGGACCACCTGACACCCCGAGAGTGCCCACGGACCACCTGACACCCCGACAGTGCCCACGGACAACCCGACACCCTGACAGTGCCCACGGACCACCTGACACCCCAACAATGCCCATGGACAACCCGACACCCTGACAGTGCCCACGGACCACCTGACACCCCAACAGTGCCCATGGACCACCTGACACCCTGACAATGCCCATGGACAACCCGACACCCCAACAGTGCCCACGGACCACCCGACACCCTGACAGTGCCCACGGACCACCTGACACCCCGCCAGTGCCCACGGACCACCTGACACCCCGACAGTGCCCACGGACCACCTGACACCCCGACAGTGCCCACAGACGACCCGACACCCCAACAGTGCCCATGGACCACCTGACACCCCAACAGTGCCCACGGACCACCCGACACCCCAACAGTGCCCACAGGACCACCTGACACTGACAGCCCGACAGTGCCCATGGACAACCCGACACCCTGACAGTGCCCACGGACCACCTGACACTGACACCCCGACAGTGCCCACAAACCACCCGACAGTGCCCACGGACGACCTGACACCCCGACAGTGCCCACAGGACCACCTGACACCCCGACAGTGCCCACGGACGACCTGACACCCCGACAGTGCCCACGGACGACCTGACACCCCGACAGCGCCCACAGGACCACCTGACACCCCGACAGTGCCCACGGACGACCCGACAGTGCCCACGGACGACCTGATACCCCGACAGTGCCCATGGACGACCTGACACCCTGACAGTGCCCACAGGACCACCTGACACCCCGACAGTGCCCACAGGACCACCTGACACCCCGACAGTGCCCACGGACGACCTGACACCCCGACAGTGCCCACAGGACCACCCGACACCCCGACAGTGCCCACGGACGACCCGACAGTGTCCACGGACGACCCGACAACCCGACAGTGCCCACGGACGACCTGACACCCCGACAGTGCCCACAGGACCACCCGACACCCCGACAGTGCCCACGGACGACCCGACACCCCGACAGTGCCCACGGATGACCTGACACCCCGACAGTGCCCACGGATGACCTGACACCCCGACAGTGCCCACGGACGACCCGACACCCTGACAGTGCCCACGGGAGCAACCGACACCCTGACAGTGCCCACGGACGACCCGACAGTGTCCACGGACGACCCGACAACCCGACAGTGCCCACGGACGACCCGACACCCCAACAGTGCCCACGGACGACCCGACAGTGCCCACGGACGACCCGACACCCCGACAGTGCCCACGGATGACCTGACACCCCGACAGTGCCCACGGATGACCTGACACCCCGACAGTGCCCACGGACGACCTGACACCCCGACAGTGCCCACGGACGACCTGACACCCCGACAGTGCCCACGGACGACCTGACACCCCGACAGTGCCCACGGACGACCTGACACCCCGACAGTGCCCACAGGACCACCCGACACCCCGACAGTGCCCACGGACCACCTGACACCCCGACAGTGCCCACGGACGACCCGACAGTGCCCACGGACGACCCGACACCCCGACAGTGCCCACGGACGACCCGACACCCTGACAGTGCCCACGGGACCAACCGACACCCTGACAGTGCCCACGGACGACCCGACAGTGCCCACGGACGACCTGACACCCCGACAGTGCCCACGGACGACCCGACAGTGCCCACGGACGACCTGACACCCCGACAGTGCCCACGGACGACCCGACACCCCGACAGTGCCCACGGACGACCTGACACCCCGACAGTGCCCACGGACGACCCGACAGTGCCCACGGACGACCTGACACCCCGACAGTGCCCACGGGACCAACCGACACCCCGACAGTGCCCACGGACGACCCGACAGTGCCCACGGACGACCCGACAGTGTCCACGGACGACCCGACACCCCGACAGTGCCCACGGACGACCCGACAGTGTCCACGGACGACCTGACACCCCGACAGTGCCTACGGACACCCCGACAGTGCCCACGGGACCACTCAACACCCCGACAGTGCCCACGGACGACCCGACAGTGCCTGAAGTGCGGGGAGGAGCCGTGGCAGGGCCCAGCGGAGAGCATTTGTGCAACAGGAGTGGTCTTGGCTTCAATCACGTCAACAAGGAAGGGGAATGGGGGGCTATCGTCAGCAATCAGCCCCCCACATCGTGGGCAGGCAAAGCTGCACGCAGGCCTCGGCTTTGCATATTTGCTTAGCTACACAGAACGCCTGGGTGGCCAGGGGCAGCTGGGGGCCTCGCTCGGGAACTCACCAGCGCCGCTCTGGAGAGTGTTGCTTAGCAACCGTCACGTGGGATGCAGGGGACCCGAAAGATGTTTTGGTCCCTTGGCCTGGGAGAGAGGTACATTGGCAGGGGGGTTGGGGAGACTACTAAAATCCTGCTGCTAGTTGTATGCCACAAACTCAAGTAAACCAAGAAATCAAATGAAAATTGGACCCCAATCCACACCCCAAAGGAACTCTGTTTAACTTTCAGGGCAGAAGTTGTAGGAGAACAAAGTGAGATGCAGGTAGGAAGGTGGGCCTGGAGACATTGTGGGAAGAGGGCGCTGGGTGGGCAGAGTGAGGCCGGGCTGCGGTGTGGAGCAGAGGCAGCTGCTGCCACTACCACCCAAGCCACAGCGCGCCCAGCTTTGGTGGTCAATTGGCACTAAGAGCCTGATGGATGTCCCTGCCTGGGCTGGCTTCACTCCTGGTCCTCAGATCTCAGACTCGGGAGAAGCTAGGATTGCATCACAGGTGGGAGCTGCTGGCGCCCAGCAGTCCTAGCACTTTTGCCTTCTGAATCCTGTCATTCGAGGCGTCAAGGGAGACGCCACTGTGGAGGCCACTGGCAGGGGGCGGGGGGGGGGGGGGGGGCCTGACATAGCCAGCTAGGCCATTGGTCAGTACTTACCCATTAGGTCGTGCGGAAGTGGGGTGACCCTGTCATGGCCGTGGGGTACAGATAGGGCAGGGGCCAGCCAGGCGCTCTGGACACACCCCTCAGCACAGGGCACACAGAGGGGCTGGGACAGCAGCCCACCTGGCATGCAAGTCTGGCCACTCCAGACGACTCTGATGTGATGAGAGCTCTGGTCTGGAGCTGTTTCCTGTGGCCCTCAGCAGGCTGAAAGACCAAGACCACCCTTCCTAGCACTGGGCAGCCCCACTCTCCAGGTCTCTTCCCTTCCAGTGCCACATCTCAATGACTTGGCACACCCAAGCCCCAGGGGACCGGGCCTCCAAGGAGCTCCGGTGCGCAGCAGGAAGGCTAACCCCCAATGCCAGTTCCTGGAGGGGCAGCTCAGGTCCAGGGTGGGGGGCAAAAGGTAAGTAATCCTAGCTACTCCAGGGGTTGAGATCTGAAGATCACAGTTCGAAGCCAGCCAGGGCAGAAGAGTCCATGAGACTTATCTCCAATTAAGCACCAGAAAAGCACAAAAAAAGTGGAGCTGAGCCGGGCCCCGGTGGCTCATGCCTGTAATCCTAGCTACTTAGGAGGCTGAGATCTGAGGACTGTGGTTCAAAGCCAGGAAAGTCCGTGAGACTCTTATCTCCAATAAACCACTAGAAAAACCGGAAGTGGCGCTGTGGCTCAAGCGGTATAGTGCTCGCCTTGAGCTGAAGAGCTGAGGGACAGACAGCACCCAGAGTTTAAGCCCCACGACCAACTAAAAAAGTGGAGCTGTGACTCAAGGGGTAGAACACTAGCCTTCAGCAAAAAAGATCAGGGACAGCACGAGTGCTCCAAGTTCAAGCCTCAGGGCCAGCACACACACACACAGAGGTAAGTTCTAGAACATCCCTACCATACACCTACCATATGCCAAGGCATAGGCCAGGACGTGGCGGGTTAGGCTCTCGTCACTGTGCTGGCTTGAAGCGCATGGGGACAGCTTGGGGGCCGGCCTGGTGCAGGGCCGGCCCGGATCAGATCACAGAGGAATGGCACAGTGCTCGTCAGCTACAGGATTCTTTTGCATAAGACACGCAATAGTTCCTTTTTGCCATGACACCTTTTATTTACCTATTATTTACCTATCCTGCATCTGTGGATAGCATTTGCATGTCTGTTGGGTTTATGCCTTGCAATGGAACTGTTTCTTGAGAACCGCCGACCTACCATCCCATGTGACCGTGTCTCTTTGGGTCTCCCCAGCAACGTACCACGCTCACATCCTTGCCAACATGCCTGGCTTCTACAAAAATACCAAAGCTCTTCATGCACAAGTGGCACAGCATTTGGCTTACAGTTCTCGGGTAGCCACAAGTGATGACTCTGCACATGCTTCCACCATCTGTGGGAGACGCTGTCCGAGTTGCTCGGGACAGCTGAGCACATGCAGGCTAACGTCCCCCTCAGTGTCTGCAGGGCCACAGGGTTCAGGTGCTGTGTGGGCCCACAGGAAGCCAAGGCCTCGTGGGCTCCGGAGGTGGAGCTGCACACAGAAAGCCAGACCCGTCCACGTGTCCTGCCCCACAGCTCCACACACCCTGTCCTAACCCTCCACCGGCTTTCCAGGAGCTGTGACCTCCATACTTTCACAGGGGCAGGAAAGGTGAGGTCAGGAATCTCAGCCACTCTCCAAGGTTGAATGCTTTGGAGTGGTGGAGCCCAAGGCCTGAACTCAGCATTTTTCCACAGGCAGGGCTCTGTGGAACCAGCCCCAGGGGCATGCCCATGTGTGGATGGAGGCCAGCAGCTACAAGCACAAGGCACTGGCCTAGCACAGCTGGGGGAAGCAGCGGTGGAGGCTCAGGGCCCCCAGGGAGGGCCGGTGGCGGGGACACTGACCACAGTGCCAGGCCCGAGACAGCCTCTGCGGTCTGTCTGGAAGGCTGGGAAAGGCCTGCTGTCTTCACAGCGAAGAAGCAAACCAGGATAGCAAAAAATAAACTTTATTCCAGCAGCTAAACTTCCCACCGAACGCTCTACTGGGAGATCTACGAAGCAGTAAATGTAGCATAATCCCATTCTTTCCACTTCCAATGAGCTGAGACGACTCCCTCTCACTTCACACCCAGCCATCCACGGATCACAGGTGTGATCTTCATGTCACACCTAGCCCTGGCCTCTGGCTGGAGGACTCAGCGGAAGTACTCTGTGGGCCATATTCCGAGTGGGGCCCAGACACAGGGCCCAGGACCCTCTCCATCAAAGGGCAGGTGCAGGGCTGCCTGGCTAGCGCTGGCCACCTCTTCAGAGCACCTCCACTCTGGAAAGAGGACCCATGCTGCCTGGCTGAAGATGAAGAGTGTGTACCACCAGAACCGGGCTGTCCGGGCGCCGCAAGGGCCCGGGAGGCAGAGACACCTCAGTCCTTCTTGCCCCCCGGGGCGGGAATTCTTGTGAGGAGCTTCCCTGGGCTGCCAGGGGCCAGTGTGGCCACAGTGGGGGACTCCAGCTTCACTCTGTCTAGGAGGGTCTTCTTAACAGCAGCTGGAGAGATCTTTTCTTGGTCTGCCATGGACTGCAGCTCTCTGCAGATGAAGCCCAAAGGGTTAAAGGTGAGAGGCCTTAGAGCCAGGGCCAGGGCCAGGGTCAGCACACAGCCCCAGACACGACCAAACCAAAGCGCTCCCAATGCCTTTTTGGGGCCCAGTCCTAGGCCCTGAACTCGGGGCCCGGGTACTGTCCCTAAGCTCCTTTTGCTCAAGGCTAATATTCTACCATTTTGGTCACAATGCCACTTCCAGTTTTTTCTGTAATTAGTTGGAGATGAAGAGTCTCATGGAGCCAGGCATTGGTGGCTCACGCCTGTCATCCTAGCTACTCAGGAGGCTGAGATCTGAGACCCACAGTTCAAAGCCAGGCCGGGCAGGAAAGTCTGGGAGACTCTGATCTCCAAAAAACCACCAGAAAACTGGAGAAGTGGTGCCGTGGCTCAAGTGGTAGAGTGCTGTGAGCTGACGAGCCGAGGGACAGCGCCAAGGCCCCACAGCTGACCAAAAAAAAAAGTCTCATGGACTTTTCTGCCCAGGCTGGCTTTGAACCGCGATCCTCAGATCTCAGCCTCCTGAATAGCTAGGATTACAGGTGTGAGCCACCGGTACCCCGGCTCCCCAAACTTCTTAAAAGCCCTGTTTAACTAAAGTAAGGGTTTGGCTTACTCCTCTCATCTGATCTTAGAGCGCCAGGGTCCCTGCAACTACATGAAGAGGGGGTGTGAAACCAGGGGCTTGCAGCTGGAGTCAAAGGCGAATCCTGTCCCCATCATGACCTTGAACTTCCCCACGTATAAATCGGATTGGTCTCAGCTCCCATGACTTAGGTAGCCAACAAACCCTTAGCTAAACAGAGTCTGGTGAACGGTACACATCAACAAAGAACAGACAACAAACAGCACTGCTGCTGAGACCCAAGAAGCAGAACCACAGGGCGCTGCCAGCCCAGCCCCAGCTGGGGGTGGAGGCCTGGGCCTGGGCCGTGAGATACTCACCTTGTCCGGATACAAGAGGCCTCAACTGCATTGATGAGCAGAGAGCGGAAGCCCCCGCTCTCCAGAAAGTGCAGGGCGTGGATGGTGGCGCCCCCAGGGGAGCAGACGTTGTCCTTGAGCTGGCCCGGGTGGTCCTCTGAGTCCAGCAGCATCTTGGCAGCACCCTGAGAACAAGGGCAGTGAGGAGGGAGGGACAGGCCTTCCCACAGCCGCTGCTCCCAGACCACTCCCAGCGCCATGACCCACCCGTGGCCCCACTGCACACACCCGGGCCCACATATGCACGGAAAAGACACTGACCAGCAAGGCCTGGGCCCCTAGTCGGATGGCCAGGCGCCTCGGCACACCCATCTTCACCCCACCATCAGCCAGCGCGTCCAGGGCCATGAACGCCTGTGGAGACACTCGCTGAGCCCTGCGGCAGGCACTCCAGGCCTCCTGCAGCAGCCCGCCTGCGGCCCATCCCGCCACCGCCTAGCTCTAGTCAGGGCCTCACGTAGGCAGGCCCGCTGCCGCTGAGCCCAGTGATGGCGTCGATCAGGTCCTCCTCCACCTCCGTGCAGAAGCCCACGCTGCTCATGAGCTGCTCCAGGAGCTGCCCGTCCTCCACCAGGGCGTGTGTGCCAGTGGCATACACAGTGGCGCCTTCACGCACCACCACGGGTGTGTTGGTCATACAGCGGATCACTTTGGGCACTGGCTGGAAGGCCATGAGCTTCTGCAGTGGGACAGAGGGCCGTGACAATCAGCGCCCCACCTCCCAACACTGCCACTCCCTGGCCACCCCCAGGGACAGAGATGACACCTTCTCCACAGAACTGATGGTGACGCCGGCTGCACAGGAGACCACGATGTGCCGGGGCTGCACATCCGCCCCGATCTCATCCAGTATGAAGGGGATGATGTGAGGCTTCACAGCCAGGAACAGCACGTCGCTGTGCCTCACTGTCTCCTTGTTGCTCCGAGTCAGGTTCACGCCCATCTTCTGCAGGCAGACAGTGGGGCTCCCTCATCAGGACTTCCCAAGAACAGTGACCCCTGCCTAGCCCACCCTGCCAGCCAAGGCTGGGAATTCCGCATCCAGGGCCCAGGCGGGTCCCCGTCCCTCCCCAACAGACACTAAGTCTTCCCATTCTGCTACTCGACACGCGAGGGCAGAAACGGGCCATGGCCATGTTCTCGAGGCAGCCAGGGAGTGACTGTCCCCGACCCCACCGGTCTTCTGGCAGCTAAGGCACCCCTGCCCCGGGGTCCCGATAATGAAAGCAGGAGAGGCGAAGGGAGCGCAGAGCGGGCCCATCGCGAGCCCAGCACGGGTCCCCAGGCTTCACCTGCCCGTCACCAGGGCGCGGCAGCCCGGGGGGCCCGGCAGCCCGGGGGACCCCCCCACCTACCCTGAGCGCAGACACGGTGGGCAGGTCCATTTCCGGGGAGCTGGCCATTATTTTGTGGGCGGACAAGATGCCTAGGAAGACGGCGCCGCTGGGGTCGGGCAGACGGCGGGGCGCGCTCTCGGGGGGCTCGGGCCGGGCCCACGGCGCCTCTGACCCTCGGCCCCGCCCCGCGGCCCCGCCCCGCGGCCCCCCGCGCCCCTCAGCCTCGGACCCGGCGCCCCCGACCCGCGGCCCCGCCCCTCGGACCCCCGCGCCCCTCAGCCTCGGACCCGGCGCCCCCGACCCGCGGCCCCGCCCCGCGGCCCCCCGCGCCCCTCAGCCTCGGACCCGGCGCCCCCGACCCGCGGCCCCGCCCCGCGGCCCCCAGCGCCCCTCAGCCGCGGACCCGGCGCCCCCGACCCGCGGACCCGGCGCCCCTCAGCCGCGGCCCCGGCGCCCCTCAGCCGCGGACCCGGCGCCCCCGACCCGCGGACCCGGCGCCCCTCAGCCGCGGCCCCCCGCGCCCCTCAGCCTCGGACCCGGCGCCCCCGACCCGCGGACCCGGCGCCCCTCAGCCGCGGCCCCCGCGCCCCTCAGCCGCGGACCCGGCGCCCCTCAGCCGCGGCCCCCCGCGCCCCTCAGCCGCGGACCCGGCGCCCCTCAGCCGCGGCCCCCGGCGCCCCTCAGCCGCGGACCCGGCGCCCCTCAGCCGCGGCCCCCGCGCCCCTCAGCCGCGGCCCCCGCGCCCCTCAGCGGCTCAGGCCACGTCCGCGGCGCGGCCGCCCCCACTCGCTCTCGGGCTCACCGCCCACCCCCGGGCCGCGCTGCGGGGCGGGGCCGCTCCGACCGCCCCGCGGACGCCGCCGCCCCGCGCTCACCCGCGGCGGTGAAGCCCCGCGCCAGCGCACACGCCAGCTGGCCCGCGCCGATGAAGCCCACGCTCATGGCTGCCGGTCAGGTCTCCACCGCCGACGGCGCCGCCGACTGTGCCCGCGGCGCCCGGGACCCCGTGACGCTCGCAGCCAATCAGCGGCGGTGAGCTCGAGACGGACCAATCCGCGGCCAGGACGCCGGCCTACGCCCGCCTCCCGCGCACCCGCGAAGCCGCGCGGCGCCGCCCTCGAGAATGGAAGCCTCGGGCGCGCAGCCGCCCGGACGCGGAACGGGCTCCCGGGCCCCCTCCGCTGGCCCCCCCCTCCGCCGGCCCCCCTCCGCCGGCCCCCCTCCGCCGGACCCCCCCCCGCCGGCCCCCCCCCCCGGACCCCCCCCGCCCGGACCCCCCCGCCGGACCCCCCCCCCCGCCGGACCCCCCCCGCCGGCCCTCCCCCCCCCCGCCGGACCCCCCCGCCGGACCCCCCCCCCGCGCCGGACCCCCCCCGCGCCGGACCCCCCCCCGCCGGCCCCCTCCGCCGGACCCCCCCTCCGCCGGCCCCCCTCCGCCGGCCCCCCCCCCGCCGGAACCCCCGCCGGCCCTCCCCCCCCCGCCGGACCCCTCCGCCGGGCCCCCCCCCGCCGGACCCCCCCGCCGGACCCCCCCGCGCCGGACCCCCCCGCCGGACCCCTCCGCCGGACCCCCCCCCGCCGGACCCCCCCGCGCCGGACCCCCCCGCCGGACCCCTCCGCCGCCGGACCCCCCCCCCGCCGGACCCCCCCGCGCCGGACCCCCCCGCCGGACCCCTCCGCCGGACCCCCCCCCCGCCGGACCCCCCCGCGCCGGACCCCCCCCGCCGGACCCCTCCGCCGGACCCCCCCGCGCCGGACCCCCCCCGCCGGCCCTCCCCCCCCCCGCCGGACCCCTCCGCCGGTCCTCCGCCGGCCCCCTCCGCCGGACCCCTCCTCCGGACCTCCGCCGGACCCCCCCCCCCCCGCCGGACCCCCCCCCCGCCGGCCCTCCCCCCCCGCCGGCCCTCCGCCGGCCCCCTCCGCCGGACCCCTCCTCCGGACCTCCGCCGGCCCCCCCCCGCCGGCCCCCCCTCCCCGCCGGCCCTCCGCCGGCCCCCCCCCCCGCCGGCCCTAGGCCGGACCCCCCCCCCCCGCCGGCCCTCCGCCGGCCCAACCCCGCGGGCCCCCCCGCCGGCCCCCCCCCCCCCGGCTGCGCTCCCCCCCCGCCCCCCGGGCTGCGCTCCCCCCGGGCTGCGGCCCCCCCCCCCGCTGCGCTCCCCCCGGGCTGCGGCCCCCCCCCCCCGCTGCGCTCCCCCCGGCTGCGCTCCCCCCGGGCTGCGGGCCCCCCCCCCCCGCTGCGCTCCCCCCGGGCTGCGGCCCCCCCCCCCCCCCCTGCGCCCCCCCGGCTGCGCTCCCCCCGGCTGCGCTCCCCCCCCCCCCCCCCCCCCGCTGCGCTCCCTCCGGCTGCGGTCCCCCCCCCCCCCCCCCGCTGCGCTCCCCCCCCGGGCTGCGCTCCCCCCGCCCGCCCTCCGGGCTGCGGCCCCCCCCCTGGCTGCGCTCCCCCCCCTCCCCCCCCCCCGCTGCGGTCCCCCCTCCCCCCGGCTGCGGTCCCCCCTTCCCCCTCCCCCCGGCTGCGGCCCCCCTCCCCCCCTCCCCCTGGCTGCGGCTCCAGGTTGATTCCTCTGAGTGCCCTTGGGTTTCTTCGATGGTTTTGTTTTGTGAGTGCCAGGACTAGGGCTTGAACTCAGGGCCTTAAGCTCTTCCTTTGATCTTCGGACCAAGGCTGGTGCTCCACCGCTTGAGCCGAGCTCCACTTGGATGCGGATCCGAGCCTGGGGCCTTTTCTGCCAGGGCTCGCTCATGAGGAACTAGGCTGACAGGTGTGAGCTACCATTGTCCAGCTTGGTTTGTTTTCCACACAGTCTTGCTGTGTTGCTCAGGCTGGTCTGGACCTCCTGTGTCTCCGCCTCTGGAAGAGGTGGACTACAGAGTCAAGCAGGCCACCATGCCTGGCTTCTGAAGTGATGGATGAGAGGAAGAGTCTGTCAGGCTCACCAGCCACTGGCCTCTCCCCCGCCGGCCAGGGAGGACCCAGCCCTGCACCACAGCCTGCCGTGGTCCTGCCCTTCCGGCATCCAGCACCTGCCTCTTGGTGCCAGCAATATCCCAACAGACAATCCACCTGCCTGGGCCACCCTCCGCTCTGGCTCTTCCCTCCACAGTCAAGTCCCCAGTCTATCCTGCCCCCCCCCCCCCAGTCCTGGGCTCTCAGCCTCTAGCCTTCCGTCTTCACTAGTCTGGCCACTGCTCTTAAGGCCTTCCCACTTTAGGTGATACGACAAAACTAACAGGACTTAAGAAACAAAGAACTCCCGCTCATCTGGTTGAACCACTACTAAATATCCCCATGCTGCTGATCACAAATATGGTATATAACATGTGAACACTGTTATATATTACAGACTGTGGTAGACAATTTGCTCCAGGGAAGTTAGAATGAACTTGTGACTTTGAAATTATGTAATCATTTAATCACAATAAAAAAAAAAAAGAACCTCGGGGAAGGGAGGGAGGGAGGGGATGGTAGGGGGAAAACAATGGAGGGGGTAACAATGTTCAAGAGGAAGTATACTCATTACCTCACTCATGTAACTGTAACCCTCTGTATAGTAGCTTTACAATAAAAAAAAAAAAAGCCGGGCGCTGGTTGCTCACGCCTGTAATCCTAGCTACTCAGGAGGCTGAGATCTGAGGATCGCGGTTCAAAGCCAGCCCGGGCAGGAGAGACCGTGAGACTCCTATCTCCAATAAACCACCAGAAAACGGAAGTGGCGCTGCAGCTCAAGTGGTAGAGCGCTCGCCTTGAGCTGAAGAGCTGAGGGACAGCGCCCAGGCCCAGAGTTCAAGCCCCACGACCGACAAAAAAAAAAAAAAAAAAAAAAAAAAAGGCCTTCCCACTGGCTTATCTCTAAATGGCAGACATCTGTTTTAAGAACTAAAATAATCCAGGCTGTGGGTAGAGTACTGAGCTGCCCCGAGCTAGCAGAGGCCAAGCCCCTGCACCACACTTCTCCCTGGCCTAGGGACTTATCAGGGAGGCATAGTTATAACCCATATTACTTTTAAAAAACAAAAATTAGGTCAAACAGGAACTCACTCTCTGGTCCCCAGTGTTGGAGTGAAGCCAGGGTCTCATGTGTTAGGCAGGAGGTACACAGCCAGGATCCGGTGTGACCCCATGTAGAAAAGCCAGGCTTTTCCTAAGGCTCCTCTTATATCTTACACTTGTTCCCCCTTCTAACCCCACTTTTTTTTTTTTCTTTTACCATCTTGGGGCTTGAACTCTGGCCTAGGTGCTATTCCTGAGCTCTTTTACTCAAGGTTAGCACTCTACCGCACTCTAGCCACAGTGACAGTTCCTGCTTTTTCTGTGGTTAACTGGAGATAAGGATCTCATAGACTTTCCTGCCCTGCTGGTTTCAAACTTCAGTCCTCAGATCTCCGACTCCTGAGTGGCAAAGATTACAGACCTGAGCCACCAGCTTTGTTTTGTTCTGTTTTTTGATTTAAAAAGTCAACAAAATAAAATTACAAGTTTAAAAGAAAATTCCAGGGGGCTGGGAAGGTAGCTCAGTGGTAGAGTACTTGCCTTGCATGCATGAGCCCCTGGGTTTGATTCCTCAGCACCACGTAAGCAGAAAAGCTGGAAGTGGCACTGTGGCTCAAGTGGTAGAGCGCTAGCCTTGAGCTGAAGAGCTGAGGGACAGCACCCAGGCCCAGAGTTCAGGCCCCATGACCAGCAAAAAAAAAAAAAAAAAAATTCAGTTTAATTGTTGAAGAACGTTTCCCACATAGATCAAACTGGTACAAATAAAACATAGCAACCGTCTAGGCAAAATCAAAACAAAACCCTCACTGTTGGACTTTTTAACCATTTCACATTTTTTTTTCTTTTCTGGTCCTGGGGCTTGAACTCAGGGCTCAGGTGCAGTTCCTGAACTTCTTTTGCTCAAGGCTAGCCACAGTGCTACTTCCAGCTTTTTCTGAATAGTTCATTGGAGATAAGAGTCTCACAGACTTTTCTGCCTGGGCTGGCTTCTACCTGTGATCCTCATATTTTAGTCTCCTGAGTAGCTAAGTGTACAGTTGTGAGACACCAGCATTCAGCTATAAATTTTTCTATTGCTGCTATAGCTACATACATTTAAAACGTTACTGGGAGCTGAGGGACAGCGCTCAGGCCCAGAGTTCAAGCCCCACGACCGACCAAAAAACAAAAAGTTACTGGATGGGTTGGGAATGTGGCTTAGTGGTGTTTGACTAGCATGCAGGAATCCCTGGGTTCTATTCCTCGGTACCACATAAAGCCGGAAGTGACGCTGTGGCTCAAGTGGTAGAATGCTAGCCTTGGGCAAAAGAAGCTCAGGAACAGCACCCAGACCCTGAGCTCAAGCCCCAGGATTGGCAAAAAGAAAAAAAAGTTACTAGAATCTTTGAAATAGGTATTTATGCATTTGAGTTTTTACATAGAATACCCAGAAGGCTTGTTAGGTTATCTGAGACCGTTGAAAATGTCTACCTAAGTGGCGCTGTAGCTCAAGTGGTAGAGCGCTTGCCTTGAGCTGAAGAGCTGAGGGACAGCGCCCAGGCCCAGAGTTCAAGCCCCACAACCCGCCAAAAAAAAAAAAAAAAAGAAAATGTCTACCTATAGCCCAGCACTTGTGGCTCATTTTTGTCATTCTAGTTACCGAGAAGGCTGAGATTTGAGGATTTTTAGTTCGAAGCCAGCCAAGCAGGAAAGTGTGTGACTTTTTTGGGGGGGAGGGTCCGGTCGTGGGGCCTGAACTCTGGGCCTGGGCGCTGTCCCTCAGCTCTTCAGCTCAAGGCTAGCGCTCTACCACTTGAGCCTCAGCGCCACTTCTGGCTTTTTTTCCTTTTGCTTATGTGGTGCTGAGAAATCGAACCCAGGGCCTCAGCATGCAAGGCAAGTGCTCTACCACTGAGCCACCTTCCCAGCCCAAGTGTGTGACATTTATTTTTAACCACCAAAAAGCTAGAGGTGGAGCTGTGGTTCAATTGGTAGAGTGCCAGTCTTAGGTAAAAAAGCCAAG